GTACTCACATTTTTTAAGGTATACATTTGATCTTTAATTATCTCGTTTAGGTGTAAAGGTTACCAGCTATACCAAACGTTGTAATTTAAAAACCTATTAAAAACGCACCCGTTTCAGGTATAGCTTTTTTACATAGTATTTCTTGACACATGTTTATAGAAAACTTTTGACTTAAAATTTAACTTGTAACAATAAAAACGGAATATCCCCTGTATATACATACATAATAACTTGATAACTTCGTACTTGCGGCAATATAATGTTGTGAAATCAACTGTAAAGTTTTGGATTTGATGTATGGGCCTAAACTTTTTTTCATATCTTTCAAACGAAAATTAAAACATTGACAAAAATGAAACAAAATTATGAGGTCTAAAGATTATGAGATAGTGATATAATTTGACAAATTAAAAATTCGAGATTGTTTGAAGTAAGTCGATAATACAAAAAATTCTTTAATATAATTTTTTTATTACAAGAGTCATTGATTGGTCGCTAAGAATTTGAGGGTTCATCTTCTTACATAGTCAATAGACTATAGTATAGACTATAGACTATAGTAGGTATGAAAACAAAACATCACTAAAAAATGTTTAATATACCTAGTTATTAACAGGGGCATCTTATAAATGTTAACTTTGAAAAATTAATTAAAATTAATTATGATACAAAAATTGTTTTTTAATATATTTTTAATAAACGAATCTATTCGTTACTGTTTGTTCGTATTTTATTTATACAGAAATTAATATCACCGTATTTTGAAATAATCGTGGAGCATCCTATGAATTTTTTATATTTAATATCTCAGTCAATGGATATACGAAAAAAAAATGCAACTCTACAATTCCCTTTTTATCACAGAATGGTTCTGTGTTACGCCACTGCTCAAGTTTCCCCACTACACCGAGTACGCATTGGCTCCGCCTATCGATATCCTTCTTGAAGTCTATGAACTTTACTGAACTTATATAAAGACACGTATTGCTGGGATTGTTTCGGGAAAACGACGCCAAAAATAAATTTCAAGTGAAACTTTCAAATTTTCGTTTCAAACGTCAATCATAGACATTGATATAAATATGTCCAAAATTCCCTGTCCGCAATTGTATTATTATCCCTGCTTTTTAATTGGTCTATTTAACAAACTTTTAATGAGTTTTCCTTTTATTTTACAATTTGTATTGTGCAATAGGAAAGCACATTTAATCAGTAATAAAATAAACAAACGGTAAGGAGTATCTGATTAGTGATTAGTAATAACTGATAACATTATTTGCGAAAATGAACTAAATTTTGAACCAAATAGTCGTCAATGAACGCTCAAAAAAGGTGTTCAAATTACGACATAAACATACCACAAGTCCCCGGTCTTCCGAAGCGAGCGAGACGCGGGGGAATAAAAAGGTGACGTTTTATAGTTTCTCGTTTATACCTCGAAAATGGGTGCGTGTTATGAAGAAAATTGCACCAAACCATAAAACGACATCTTGGTGTCCTTCTGACCCCGCTCACCTCGGAGAACCGGGAACCTTTACCTCCTAACTAATTCAAATAGTCTTCAAATCAAATTTCTATTCCCATGCATTCTACAATTTGTTAAGATAAAAAGATTCATTTTTCAACATTTAAACAGGAGTGTTTTTTTAACCAACCCCAAGTGGTCTGTCGGACAAGATACAATAAGGTGTTGAAAAGCACACGAAAATAAGATCTTTACATGTTTGCTGGTTTGGTTCAGATGGGCAATATTTGAGAAAATATGTACAGGATGTCTCAAAATTAAGGCATTCCTAGTTCGGAGCGTTGTAGGGAGTAAGTAAAAATATACAGAACATTTTTTTTATATTATAAAATAAAATTTCATGTTTGCAATTGTAATACATTTTATTATTTAATAAATAAATAATAGTTATTTATTGTAAGAGTGGGTTAGGTAGCGTTTTATCCACGCTAGAATGTTTACCCGCGAGAACGTCAGTTCGAGCTGTTAATTTTCTTAAGTGGATAAAACGCGACTAACACACGACTGCAATATAACGTTTTATCCACAATCACAGACCCAAATTATTCCAAACTTAATTAAAAATTAAACTGACATTTAAACGTCACGCCAAATGTGCTTTCGGTTAAACGTAGTAAGCTGTTACGCGGTGCGCTGGTTACTAACAGTGGAATAAAGTAAAAAGTTACTTTATTCCACTAGTGGATAAACTAGTACTTGATACGCATCTAAAGTGTGGAATAAAGTCTGTTTATAGAGTGATTGTGGATAAAATAATATATTGAAATATTATTTACAAAAGGTATCCATTTGAAATTAAAAAATGAGCCACGTAGCGGCAAGGAACGAACTATTGCTTGAATGGCCTTCTGTAACGAGTGTATATATCATCTCATTTGCTTTGTTGCGAAATGAGGAAACGCTTCTTTACTATCCCTATACAGGGTGTTTCAAAATTCAGGCATTCCAAATTCAGAGCGTTGTAGAAGATATTACCAGGAATAAGAGAAAATTTGTTAAGAAAATCAACGACCTTTTCTTACAAAGATATCAAAGAAGATGCAGACTTTGCATCAAGCCATCAAGTAATTTTCAAATAAAGGCTATGAATGTTGGCGGTTATTTTTACTTCTTATCGTTTATTTTTTTCTTTATTATGGGTATAGCTACATGTAATAACAATTATAAAAAATTCTTGAAAAAGTAGCTTTTACGTGGAGTAAAAAAATAGTCCATTTTATATAATAATTATTTATCCACTGATAGTACCACTTTATCCACTGTTAGTAACCAGCGCACCGCGTAACAGCTTACTACGTTTAACCGAAAGCACATTTGGGGCGACGTTTAAATGTCCGTTTAATTTTTAATTAAGTTTGGAATAATTTGGGTCTGTGATTTTGGATAAAACGTTATATTGCAGTCGTGTGTTAGTCGCGTTTTATCCACTTAAGAAAATTAAGAACTGACGTTCTCGCGGTTAAACATTCTTGCGTGGATAAAACGCTACCTAACACACTTTTACAATAAATAACTATTATTTGTTTGCTTTATTTTTTAATATAGACTAATTTATAATGCACATATGAATATCAAAAAAATTATCAGAATTATAATAATAGAAATGTAATTTCAAGAAAAAAATATTACAATTTTCAGATTGGATCAGTTAAGAAAAAAATGCTCAGTAATTCGATTAGCGCAATGTGCAATTAAATAGCTTCTCATTATTAGAAAAATAATAACATCTTATCTAATAACGTTTCCATTATTATTCGTCATACTCTCTGTTTTGAACCAAATCCAGCAACGAGAGGATCAATATTCGAGGGTTTCGAGGCATGTGCAGAGCCATACCACGAGAACCAAAACATATGTTTGTAGAATGACAATTTATTCAAAGTTCTTGTAAATAGAGGCGCACATTTTATTATATCAGGTATTTACACCAAAAACAACCCTTAACTAACCCAACACTAAGTAAAGAAGCTGGAAGAGGTAAATAACATTCACCTTTTTGTAAAATTCCACCCAAGTAAAATATTAAAATGGCAACATACCCAGGTATGAGTTTAGGTGGTGAAGTGCGCGAAAGTATTTCCTTAGACGAAGACGATTTGAGTGACGTTGAAGATGAAGTTTTCATTAGAGATGGGAAAAATAGTTACAAAGTAATATCGTAGGAAAACAATGTCCATTTCTTACAATTTGTAATTTCAGCTCGCAGAAGAATTAAATGTAAAACGGCCTTTAATGGCCCCTCGGAGAAAATTGGGAAAACCTGATCTGACGTCCCGGTTGAAGGCTAAGCCCCCATGTAAGGCGTTTTGTAAGCCGTGTTGCTACATGTTTGCTGCTTTAAGTATAGTAATTGGTGAGTTACAATAACGCAAAACTCGAATTTGACCACACTTTTTAGGTATAATAGTGCTAGTTGTAATTTTTGTGTCGATATTTCCATTGCCTTTGGACCGACTAAGGAATTGGATAATATCGAAATCTGAGCCAGTTGGTAATCCCATTAAATTAATACCATGTAGTAATTTGAAAATCACAGACGTGTGGGCAACTAATTTGCCCATACTTACCACAGATTCCCCAGTTTGGTTACTTGATCTGAACCAGGATGGTGTTGATGATATTCTTTTCGGGTTTGGCACGGGTTGGTAGCACTGTTTTGCCAAAAACTTGTTACAAGTAAAGTTTCAGGTGATAACTACAATATTTTATCGCCCGAATTGTTTTGTCCGATTTTTTTGGGAGTAGCACCTCCTTGCGAAGGAGGAGTGATTGCTTTGAATGGTACCACTGGGGATATTGTTTGGAGGTATTGGACGAACGACACTATTTTCTCCCTTCAGTGTTCCGCAGACCTTAACGGTGATGGCTTGGAAGACTGCTTGGCTATTGGAGATGAGGGCACTCTTGTAGCAATTAACTCGAAAAATGGGTCCCAATTGTGGGAAAAAAACTACAGTAAACTGGACGTTTATGTGGCCAATTTCGTACCAGATCAAAATAATGATACCGTGGCTGACATTTTATCTTCACACACATCGCAAGATTGTAAGTATTATTGTGAATAATTAAAATTTTGCGCAACTTGAAAATTTATAAAATGTTTTGTCTAAGAAAAGCAGAATTTTACTTTTTCGCCTATACAGGGTGCGCCAGAACTCGCGACACAGAGAAAATTTTCAAGTAAGGTAAGATACAGGAACATGAAAAAAGTGTTTAAAAAATTCTCTGTCAAATTTTTTTTTCATTTGACATTTTTTTGTCTATTTAATGATACCGTCGTTTGCGTTGATTGACAGTAAATAAAGTCTGGGCAATAGGCCAAAATCGTGAACTTGTCAAAATCGTAAATTCCGGTAGATGACGCGCGCGTTACCCTCCAAAGGAAACTGTAATTTGTGAAATTTGAAAATTTGCAGGAAATTAAATGTCACAATTGTTGACACGTTTAATAAAATATTGATCTGTCACACAACTAATACATTTATTCAGCTTAAGAAGCGCAGTATCAATATCTTTCAGACGTTACATTATAATTTTTTAAATGCCAAGTATCCGAACTTGCTGTGTTCCAAACTGTGGGCAAGCGGAGAAAGAGGGTGTTATTTTACATCAATTTCCAAAAAGTATAAATCAAAAAAACGAATGGCTTAAGAGAATACTTGGTACCATCGGCAATATACCCCCAAATTCCGTGATTTGTGGAAAACACTTTGAAATAACGAGCTATTACAAAAACAAAAAATTGTTACCAAATGCAGTTCCATCCTTGCTCTTGAATTATAAAAGAATTACTCGTTTTCAGGTAATTTATACCACTTCCATTAATTCAGAACGTAAGCTGTTAGAAACACCGTGTCTCCAATCTCCAGAGTCATTTGACAAAAATTCTACGATTTCAAATCCATTTCGATTTGATTTTGATCAACAAAGCGATTTAAAAGTAGGTGATACTCATGATTTTGATTTAAAAAATGTTTTAGATGCAATAAGTTCGGCAGAAAAATTTGTCTTACTAGATAAAATTCAAAATTTAGAAAAAAAGTTACAGGAAGTAAATGTAAGATTTCAAAAGTTGAATAAGCTATATGAAAATAAACTCGTAAAACTAAAGAAAATGCAGGAAAAAATTGACAACTACAGTAAAGGTCAACATTGTGTAGTGAAAATTGAGTTAGATGAACTAAGGGCTGTGTTTTTACTTGATCAAATTTATAATTATTCCCTAAAAAACCCAAGATGGTCTGAAGTTACAGTACGTCATTGTATTGCCTGGAGGTATATTTCTTCAAAAAATTATGAATTTGCGAGAAGAAGTCTGTTTTTAAAAGCTCCATCCAGAAGAACTTTAGACAGACATATGGGAAATTCTCAATGGGATCCAAGCTTGACTAATTTAATTAAAAACAGAATAACTGCTAAAAGCAATTATTTAAAAGACGTTGAGAAAATATGTTTATTTTTTTAAATAAATAAAATTATATTTGCGTATAAAATGTTTTAATTTTTGATGTTTTTCGTCCAGTTCTTAGAAAAAATTCAAAAGTAAACAATTACGCATTTATTATTATACAACCCATGAAACACAAAAGTAAATTTTTGTATACAAAAATTTATCAAGGTTTCAAACCAAAATATACAGATTCCATTGGAGCGCCGACTCGTCTCTCCCCCAGCGGCCATTTTTTGGCATTGCTAAGACTTTTATTACTGTCAATCAACGCAGACGACGATACTGATAATCTTGTATATGTTTTTTTACAATTATTTGGTAAAGGTACAAAAATTTTGCCAATAAAAGCCACAAATAACATTGAACAGAGTTACAATTTAGGACACAGCTTCCCTGTTTCCTCTTTTAATAGCCTATAGCAAAAAAACTTGGAAAATTATTTTTCCAACAGAAATTAATAGTCAAAATGCAAAATTTAAACCCTCATAACTTCAAAATTTTTATAGATAAAAATCTTTTTAACAGTTTTTCCATGTTCCTAGTATCTTACCTTATATGGCATTTTTCTCTGGGGCGCGAGTTTTGGCGCACCTGTATGTAGGAGAGAATTTTTGTTTACCCAAAAATGGTTTTACAGCTAGGGAGGGACATCTGGTGTTAATTTCTGGAACAACTGGGAAAGAGATAAAGAGGGTAACGGTACCATATGGATCAAAAACATTCTTTATGCCCCAGCTATTGCGAGTTAATGGTAGTGATTTTGTTATTTTCGGGACTGGAAGTCCCACAACTCCTGGAAATTTGAGTGTGGTGCCTCTTGATGGGCTTACGACGGGAAATTTGGTATTTCTGAAGAAAAAATTCTTGTAATTTTTCTAACACCATTTTCCAGTCGATACGCACAATTTATCAAGATCCTTATAAAGGCATCCTCACCCAATCAATTCTGGTCGACATTAATGGTGATAACATATCTGACATTATTACTGCGATGTACAACACCACGGTGGTTGCAATAAACGGATTAACATTTGAACAAATCTGGAATTATACGATACCGAATTCTGAAAGTAATATAATACCAACGCCTGGGTATTTTAATGATGATAATATAACTGATTTTTTGATAATTTATGAAAAATATGATAATATTCTTAATTATAACTATACGACTACTTATATTATCGATGGGAAAACGGGAAAACCTATTTATACCAAGTCTATAAGTGGAAGTATTGCAACACAAATGAGTGGATTGACGTTGGCGATGGAGTCACATGGTTTTGATATGTTTCTTTTTTGGACAACGGAGTGTAGCAATGTGGATATGTACAAGAAAAATAAAGTCGTGGCGAAAGGTAACAAATGACATGATACATTAATACAGAGTGAGTGCTAAAAGTTTTTTAATCACATTTTACCAAAATTAATATTAAAAAAACGTTTTTCGGAAACAATTTTCAGAAGTGTCGTTTCATTTGTTTGTTGATTATGAAAAAATTAACGATAAAGAAAATGTAGTCGTTTTTTAAGAACGAAATTTTTGTAAGTTTCTTTCTGTGTAAATTCTATAGTTTTTTTGATGCCAACCTATTATCAAATATTTTTGACACAAACA